TGAAGAGAGGAAGAAGAAAGAGGACATGGTGAGCTAGATGTGAGAACAAAATCCTAACATGTACAAATTCACCAGTATTTATGGAGTTCACTCTGTACTAGACACAGGGAAGAATCCAATAGAAATAAAATGATATTGTGAAAGAAATAGCCTGTGGCTTGCTGGTGACCTGGCCTCCGTTCATGCTGTCCCTCCAGGCTTCCCCTCTGTTTTGGTCTCTTTCCTCCCGACCCTCAAAGTCCTTCTTCCTAGTCCCAGATACTTCACGGCAGCAATGAACTTCCTGCCCGCCCAATCTCTGGAGCTCTAGAGTCACGCCATTGCTCCCATGTCTATCATCTCTGAAGTCAGAGAACTCTTACACCAACCAGTGTGAGAGAAAAAAATTGTGAAAGCATAGATGTATTTTATAAAATATGATTTCTAATACAAATCCCAGATACTATGTTTAGAAGGCTGTTGGGATATAGTCAGATGTAAAATGATGTACTTTTGTGATCACAGTGAGAATGGACAGAAAGAAGCCACAGAAGAAACATTTTGAAAGTAGAAAATGACAGGGCTAGTTTTGAACACGAGAAAGGCATCAACATTGCTGATACTCAGCTTAGGATACTGATGGTTTCATGAAGGGGAATAAGAAGAGGTAGTCACTTTCAAGAAGACCAGGTGGAAGTGTAATGTATTTGGAGCTAAGGGTGTGCGGAATGTGAGATGAGAGTCGGTCATCCACCGGATATGTCAAAGAGGCAACTGGATGACAAGGCTAAAGCTGGGCATGGAAATATGGATCTTGGAGTCACATGCAGAGATGAACTCAGTTAGCTCAACAGGAAAAAATGTTCTTAAAGTTCAAGAACTGAGTCACGAGAAAAGTCCATATTTAAGTGTCTAGATAAGAAAAGTTCTCCAGAAGTAGAAGAGTGGATTGGGAAGTAAAAACAGAGTTCATAAAAGCTAACTGAAGAAAGAGAGCAATGGTAAATAAATAAATACATGCATGTTTTAGTTTAACTATTTTTTGCTTTGTGCACAAAAAGATCTAAAAACAGAGTTAGGAAAATTAAGGCCCCTGTAAAGATTTGGGGCTAGTAAATGGACCCAATAACCCATCACCTACCTCCCAACAGAGAAAAGACACATGAAAAAGATGGCGCTGGCAAAGGCTTCAGGGTCAAAATCACCTCCCAGGATGTCAATCACGCGACCAGAATAGTAGGGGATTAATGTCTCACCTGAAAGAGCATGAAGGCTAACATGAATGTGCTGGTGCCAAGAACCTTTTCCCACCCCCAATTTCCAATACCCTCTCCTGACTCACCCAACACAGCAACCACAAGGAAGAAGAAGGCAACGGTGAGGAAAGGCAGGTCTGGCCTGGAGAGCTTCAGCAACCGCCACATCAAGGCTTTGTTTTTCTCCTGGCCCTGCTCCCTCTCCTGGGCTCCTGGAGGGCTCAGCACAGCCCACACTGCCCAGCTTAACCCTGCAGCCCCATACCCCATCAGCAGCCAGCTCCAAGGCGCTGAAGCCACTCTAACCGGGGGAGCACTCAAGGACCCTGGGACCAGGGCCCTCAGGGAGAGGAATAGGGGAGTCATCAGGCAGAGAGAGGGCAGCAGTGTTCCCACAAGTCCCAGCAGCCCTCCCAGCTTTAGCAGCCACCACAGCCCTCCAAGTCGCAGGGTCCCCTCCAGCCATAGGCCTGGAAGCCCTCGGGGAAGCAGAGCCCCCAGTGTCCCTTGAAGCAGCCAGAGTAAAGCCCAGTCCGCCAGCAGCAGGGAGATCCAGGGTCTAGGGTCAGGGAGCTGCATGGTGTGATCTACGGGAAGGAAAGTGAGAAATTACAGAGGTAGAGTCCCAATCCTTGTCCCTATCCTCCCCACCCCCAACCGCGGACCAGTCTATAGGCTTCTCATTTTATCCGATCCTATCCTGAAAAATATCCTGGGTACTCCGTGCTCATCAGTACATCCCTCCCACAACAGAAGGCACCGTGCCTGTCAGAGGGAGATGAGGAGACTAGATTTCAGGTGTCTCATCCATCCTTAAAAAATAAACAGAAAAAAGAAAAAAAGAAAAAGAAATAGAAATAAAAGAAATTCTTTTCTCCCCTACCCGCCCCCGCCTGCTGCCTCCGAGTTCCAAAGAGCCAGGCAGTCACCGCCCTGCTCCCTTGCTCCGTCCGGGTTCCAGGAGGACCGGAAGCAGGGAACGCGGAGCGGTGGAGGGTTGGGATGCGTCCCTGTGAGCGCACCAGGTTTCCACCCACGCGAACTCACCAGCAGCGACTTCGGGACTGCAGCTCAAGAGGTCTTTCCGTGAAGCGCTGATGAGTGAGCTCTGAAATCTGCTCCCGCTGCCTCGACTTCGTTTCCCTCTTCTGTCTGCTGGCAACGCTGTCCAGGCGAAGGCGTCCCGGTGCCGGGAGCTTTCGCTTTCACTTCCCCTGGCCAAGGCTCTGGTTCTAGGCCGGGAGGCCAGCGGGGGGCGCGCGACACCTACGGAACGCCAGACCTCCCGCGAGTCTCTCGCTCTCAGTAACTAAGTAGAATAAAGGCTGTTTCAAGGATTGGTATACTTTGTAACTGGAGAACTACTAGATTTTCTTACCTCGAGCTCTTACACCTCAAGCTCTGAACCTGTTTTGAGAAAAGCCCTCTTTCCCCACCCAAGCTCCAGTGTTAGGGTCTTGGGGTAAAAACAGCCAAGTTCTGAGTCAGAAACACGTAGGACCTCCTCTCCTAAATAGAAGGCTCCAGCCACTCTAGCCAGGGCCTAAGTGGATTTCCACTTAGATTTTGAGCTGAGAAGGCCCTGACCCCTTTATCTTCCTCTGTTCTTCTCAACACAGCACCTTGACTAGAGCATGTGTTCAGATACCTTTAAATTAGTGTGCCAGATTATGTTGGAGCACCTTTAGCATATGAGGGAATGGACTTGTTTTCTTGGTCCAGTTTAACACTGATTCCAACAGTGATTAGGTCCTGCCCGGCCAGAAGCCTATGTATGGAGCATGCAGATGTGTTGATTCCAGAAATAACTCTCCAGGTTGAAACTACCTTCCACATTCAGAATATCTTCAGAAGGATGATTTCTGGGATAATAAATCACTCTTTTGAAATATTATTGGTATGACTACCAATGAGTCACTTCAAATTGAAAATAATGGGGAAGATGGAGAGATTTGAAGTGGGGGATTACTAAAATTTCTCTAAACCTGTCCATTTAGGGATTTTAAGGATTTCTCCCTAATGAGAAAAGTTTCATGTTCAGCTATTTTCTACTTTCAAATTTTTCTTTTTACTAACTCTCCTTTGAGAGGTACCATCGTCATACTTCCTGCAGTTCCAACATGATTCAGAAAATCTCATTATGTCTTTTTTCTAACGTGGTTAGTTTTTCCTCATATTCCCCACTTGAGGGCATCCTCCTTATCTCTTCCTCTTCAATCATGGTCCTGTCATCTTGCAACTGAGCGTGACACCGCATGAAACAGAACCCCTAATATCCATCTTTACATTCAGTATCCAATATCTCCAAAGTGCTATTTGAGGTAAATGGTACCCTGTTTACAGCCACCACACACATTCAAGATAGCAGCTTTTTCATTCAACTCTACAAATTCAATAATAATTATTTTAGGTGCGTACTCCCAGACACCCAAACCATTAATCATGGACCACACAGGAGTCTTCAGATTGTATCCCTGAAGGGACCCTTAACTAAGTTAAATTTCAAATAAATGTCCACAGAGAACAATGATCAGCCTTTCTGGGGCCCTGGAAAAATGAGTGTGGGAAGAAAACCCAGGAGAAATATTTGGTGAAGCCCCATTTCTTAGGTAAAGGTTTGAGTCTCCCTTCTCAGGAAATGCTTTTCTTTATTTCCTGTCCCCTCCTCCACAACAACCACAGCTCACTCAGCCACAACACAGAGGCTTTTATAACCGTTTTCCTTTATTGTGCTTAGTAGGGTACCCAAAAGGTTGAAGAAACAGAACTTGAATAAGGATAAACTCTGTCCCAACCCCACTGGCCTCTGGTTCTTTATCTCCAGGCTCAGGTTAGGCCCCTCTTTCTCCTGGAGTGTAAGCTGGTTCAGGTCTCTGAGTTAGCCAGGTTTTCCCAGAGGTCTGTCCAGCCACCACCACAGTTACTGACTGGCCTCTCGGTACTGGTGCATCAGGTCACTGACGTCTGTACTTTCCACTTTCACCCAACCATCTTCCTTCATGTGGTACACTGTGGGTGAATGAGAAAGAACATGGAGTCACCTTTCATGTCAGTAGTTTCCTGTTAATAACGTTATGTTGAAGGCCACGACAATACACACACTCAAAGCCTTTATTACTAGGACTTAAATGCCCCTCTTCTGACTCTGAAAACCACCTCCCTGCCACTCTGCCTCCCCCAGTCTCCCAATCTCAAATCCCCCTTCCTCGCCCAGGAGCATGGTAGTGGGAGCACTGGTCTCTTACTATTGACAACGCCTCCAGAATAGCTGTCTCGGTGGGTGGCATGAACAATAGCCCTGCGGCCGAGGTCATAGGCCTCTTCAAGGCTAAGATTGGGCCTGTAGCCACTATCCATGACCCCGTAGGCATAGGTGTTCCCACTACCAGTGGAAAACATATTCCCTGAAAGCCGAGTCCCATTTTCATTCACATAGTAGAGTCCAGGGCCCTAATGGATGCAAGAAGGTTCCAGGTTAGAAATGGAGAGAGTTATTGGTCACATACATGTTCAAGTGTAAGCTATAAAAAGTGAACAAAAGAATAAGAATTACCACAGGACTATTTGAGCTAGGACAGCACTTCAGTAACAATTATAAAACTTTGGTGGGGGAAACAAACTTGTAATCAGCTATTTTATCAAAAGGGACAAGCTTACAAAACAATAGCCCACATCTGTACCCAGAAATAGGCCGTGGGTATGATGGAACAGTTCTGTAACAGAGCACTCTGTCTGCCACATAGCTTGTAGGGGATGGAATAAGAGTGTGCAATGGGGAAACTGATCTCTCATCCACAGTAGGGGAATATGGAAAATGGAGAGTACTCACCTTCTTGTCCCAGCCACAGATCATACTACCTATGGAGAGGCCCATGCCCCGGTACTGGCACATCATGTTGGAGAGAAGTTTGGAGGCTGCCGACACTGAGATCCGCTCCCCATTCCGCAGATAGTACAGCCTGGGTGAGGACAGGGTGGTGGGGAGAGAGAACTCTCTGAGCAGCTCATTTGATGGGCAGGAAGTGATTGAAGAGATACTCATTTGAAAGGGATGGTTTTGTAAGATCTAAGGATCCGGGAGAGATTTGAAATTTAAAGTATTTAAACCACAGAAAGAACTCCTGATAAATGATACTATCCCATCAGAATTGATGGTGTTAGTGTTAAACAAATGACAAATTATCTGGCTTATTGACAAGAGCACTGGCTGAGATTTGGGAGAAGGTTTTCATCACCAAAAGGCTATTGTGTGAAATACTACATTAGCACTAAGATGCTACGTTAGCACAGGAAAAAAGGGTGAGGAGCAGTGATCTGGAAGAACCAGGATCCAGGATTAACCACTAGGCTTACAAAGGAGATGAGAGACCTCTCCTACCTGCATTCTTTGGCCAGCAGACGCTCCCAGTACTGACAGTCCGCTGCAGAGCCAGACATGGTGCCAAGCAGGTAAGGGTTAATCTCAATCACCTTGTTCACCCTTAAGGTGTCTGGAAGAAGATAGAGTTTCGAGAGGGGAGGAATGACTCCACAGCTCTCTCTGTGCATCCTAAGTCAATATATGCTTCTACTGCGGTGCAGATGCTGGGCTCCTGCTGAGAGGAAGACCCAGCTCCCCCAGAGTCTGCCTCCTGGAACACACACACTCACCAATGTAACTCCCTGCGGAAGCCCGAGAATCCACTGCCACAATTACTCCATGTTGGAACTTGAAGGCGAGTGTGGTAGTGCCATGGGCCATCTCTATCTGAACGTTCCTTTCTCCACTCAGGGACTGGAAGAATTCAGTGGGCTAATCAGAGAGAAAAGACAAAGAGAGAGGCAATGAAAACTTCTGAAGTAGTAGGCTCCAGGAAAAGGTTTTAGAGAGTGTGGGAGTGAGATCTGCAGAAACTTTCCAAGCATCAGAAAATGGAATGGGTTAACTCTACGATGAAATGTCTTGGGAGAAGGAAAAGAAGATGCACAAGACACAAACCTTTCCATTATCCAGCGCAACGGAACAGAAAAATAAATAAATGTTACCATAACTAAAAGTTTTAAGGATGACTTTAACGATTTTTCCACTAATAGGTCATTTAACCCTCACAAAACACATTTATTACTAGTATCCTTATTTTACAGACGAGGCCCGAAATCTAGTCTAAGTGATTTGATCCAAGATATCCACAGTGAGTGGCCTCAGCGAGGCTAACTGCAAAAGTTTACAGGTTTTCCAAGACACTGCACAGCCCGCGTATCATATGATAGCCCCGTGAGAAAGGCTTCCTGATTTGTGTGCGATGGAGAACGCACAGGAAAGCGCTGTTGTCTTCCCATAGGCACCACCCCACCTCTTTTTGCCCCAGTCTGCACTTCCTAACCCTCAGAAGGTCAGTCCTCGACTCCCACGTGGCCTTTTTCCTGGCTAGGACCCTGGACGTGGCTCTCCTGGACTAAAGGATGGGCCCCTCCGAGTATCTCCACTGTGGGCAGTTTCCAGGCAGACCCTCCGTTCCTCTGTGCCTCCTCCCTCCCTCCCCTGGGGTTCTCTTACAGCCCTGACCTGCATTCCCCGGGGGAGGGCGAGCTCCGGAGATCGCATAGAGAAACTGTAGTGTCCAGGGTCCGAGCGATGCCGGCTTCCTGCGGCAGAGAAAGCCCAGTCCTCCCGCTGCCCTCGCGGGGCTCCGCACACCTCCAGCAGCGCCATGATCGCCTATCACCGGGAAATTTGTCCGCTCGCAGAGAAGGAAGTGAAAGCGAAAGTCTGCAGCCTTAAGGGGAGGGAACCAGAATTTTTTCCGAGAAGAAGGCAGTGGGTATCTGGAAACCAGGTATATCATACTGGGGACAGGCTTCTCTGCTCAGCCTTCGTAGAGGTTGAGGAACCATGAGTGGAAAGAGCGGGAGCGGTTTTAAAAGCCCCCTTGGCAGCAAGATTAGTGAGAGACACCAACAGGTCGAGGCATCCACTGGGAGCACTTACAGAGTGGGTAGGGGTCGTATCACCTAAAGATGTAGCCTCAACCAGAAAGCTGGAAGTCAGCAAGCAAGAGGCTAGCAGCCGTTTCACGTCGGGGGTGGGGGAGGGGTGTTCATATGAGCATCATTTTATAAAAGTAGGGGAGGGACTGCAGTACGTGGGGCCGCTGAGTCTTGAGGACTGGTATTGGGGCAAACCGCAATAGAATATACCCGCAGCATGTGGAGTAAGGAAGCACCAAGAAGAGGGCGCGGTCTCTGAATCTTTCCACGTGGTCCCTTATAGGGCCTCTCCTGGTTCAACGGTCTCACTACCCACAAGAACTGCCCTTTCTGCCCCAACTTCCTCGCAATTCTTGCTTGACTGAGCAAAGCTGGCGTCTAATTCCTCTAAACCCCGCCTCCCCTGGCAACCTGTGTTAGACTCATCTGCCCAGCAACTGTTAACGTCACATACTGTGGCCCTCTCCGTTTAGAAGAGATTTGCTATAAACCCCGCCCACTGTGCTGAGATTTCCCAGGCAGGTGCCACCTCTGTACCTGGGGCGCCCTATGGGAAAGGACTTGGGTGGTGAAGCGCACTTGCGCTTCCTTGTAGGGGTGCTCGCGAAAAGCCATGGCTCCCGGCACAGGTGAGTGCCTGGAGGGCGCTGTATCCCAGTTTGGCTCATCCTTGGGGGCGGGCATGGGGCAATGGGAAAGTGGAGGGGCAACCACTGGAAATAGATGACTTAAGGAAAAAGATGGCGCACTTAGGGCTATGAAACACTGAGAATGCTGAAGTGCGCTAAAAAGTGCGCTGCAAAAGTTGGTGACCCATTTGGTGTGCTGAAAAAGCGAGAAACCACAGTACAAAACACCAATTTTATTATAAATAGCAAGAATCCACAGGTATTCGGGGGGCCGGCACATGCCTTTGATCATATTGGAAAGTATCACATTCCCTTCCGTATGTGATAAATATTTCTCCCCATTTTCAGACTACACACCAACCCTGGCTCTAAACCCAGTTATAAACCCTGTTTTCTTTCAGGAAATTTGCATTTGCAAGATTTGTTTTGAGAGGGGTAACACTTATGTCAGAATTTTAGGTATCACCTGGGGGTTACATTTCAGGATGTCTCTCCCAGAAGCAGTGTACTACTCCGCAACTCTGTTAAGATTTTTGTTCCCAAATTCCTCACTATAGGAAGGAGAAAAAAAAGGAAGGGAGATGGAGTGTGCAGGTCTGAGAAGTCTTTCATTTTGGAGTACCCAACACACCAAGAGCCTGCACCATGGTCCAATAGCGTCCCCTATTCTCCATGAGCTGTTCGTGGGTTCCGGCCTCACAGATGGTGCCTCCTTCCAGAAAGAGGATGCGGTCAGCCTTCTTCACCAAGCTGAGACACTGGGTGATGAGAAGCACAGACCGAGAGCACCTCTCGGGGCTTTCATACAGGAGCCGCTCCACCTGAGAACAGATACAGACTCTGTCAGAGCTGGGGAACACTCCCAGCCCAGGGAGGGATCTGTGTGTGTTTCTGGGGCTGGGACAGACCTTGCCAGGATAACCGTGACTTCTGTCAACAACCGCAAGAAGAACAAAGATTCTCCTTCAGAGTGCTTCTCTGTCAAACTTTTGATTTGTTAAGGACTGTTTACATGAGGAGGCAACAGTGGAATAAAAGTCAGTCCTATGGTGAAACCCATAAAAAAAAAAAAAAGCGAAGAGTATTGAATAGTCTCTCTACCTATGGACTAGGAATTTTCATATTCTATTTTAAGGAAGTATAACTTAGTGGTAAAGAGCATGAGCATTCAAGTCAGACAGACTTGAATCTGGGTCCAGCCTCTGCTACTAAATAGCTGAATGACTTTGATCAGGTTATTCGACCTCTCTTTGCCTCCATTTCATCATCTGTAGAAAAAGAATAATGACACCCAGTGCACAAGCATTCACAATGAATAAATGAGTTAGATGGTACTTGCAAAGGGCCTAGTAGCATGTTTGGCAATAATATAAGCTCAATTAATATTAATTTTAGGATGGTCTTTTTCTTATGTTTGACTTCAGAGATTCAGAGTCTGGAGACAGTCTCTTTTAACTGGTTCTAGGCATCTCAGGGAGAAGCTAATGGGAACTGACAATTACAAGGACTGATTTGGATACTTATGTTAGTATATTTAACATAGGATGAGTGGTGGAAGGAGGATTTGGTGGGATGTAGGCATCAAGAAGATGGCTCTCTCACCCGTAACTGGCTGTTTGCATCCAGGGCACTGGTAGCATCATCCAGGATGAGTACACGTGGTTTCCGGATCAATGCTCGAGCCAAGGCCACTGCCTGTCGCTGACCCCCTGATAGCTGGCCCCCAGCCTCGCCCACCTCTGCAGAGACAAGAGCCAAGGTGAGAGCTGCATAACCACATGTGCATGCACACACACACACACACACACACGTGCACACGCACACACACCAAGGACTGATGGACACAGCTGGAAAAGGAAGGTTCTGGAAATAAGGAGTTCTGAGGATACGAGGACGAAGGAGCCATAGGAACAAGATCTTACAAATTCAAATTGATGTCAGTGGGGCGGGAGGAACCGATGAATAAAGGAACGACTATTGGCGTTTCAGTAAGGTAAAGATGTCTTGGTGGTGACATGAGTGGAGAGAGCACCTGTGTTGTAGCCTTGAGGGAGTTCAGAGATGAAACTATGGGCTCCGGACTCTATTGCAGCAGCTGTGATTTCCTCCATAATTGGCTTCTGGATCAGGCCATAGGCAATATTTTCTTGGAAACTTCTTCCAAATAGCTGTGGTTCTTGTCCCACTGCAGCCATCTGAAACAAAATATGACAAAGAGTCATGCGATAAGGAACAGAGGGGTGGTTATATAGAGATTGAAGACTCAAAATCTATACTGATATCCTATCACAAAATTCTCCACCCAAGGTCTCTTATTCCCTAACAGAGTGCTCAGTTAGTGCTCAGTGAGAACAGTCTTCTTACTTAATGTTCCATACCCCCATACCACCTTCTTGCTCACCTGTCTGTGCAGGTAGCGGTGTTCATATTCGGGAAGGGGCTTCCCATCCAATAGCAGCTTCCCCCTGGTAGGCTGGTACAGATTCTGCAGTAGGGCAGCCACTGTGCTCTTCCCAGACCCATTGGGTCCAACCAGTGCCATCACCTCACCAGGACATAGGGTGAATGTCAACTCCTGGAGGGTAGAGAATCAATCACACAATAAGAGGCGGACTAAGGCCCCTAATCTTGAGACTGCCATTGTCTTGTTACACCGCATAATGTCTTACCCTAGGGAAGAAAGGAGAAAAATGGGGAAATATAGTAACTCCTACCCTCCCACATGCACAGACTTCTGTTTTTCAGGCATCTACTAAGGAGTAGAGATGGAAGATGAGGCAAAGATGAGAACAAAGACCAAGCACCAGTATACCACACACTTGTGATCAGATATAATGGAAAAAAAAAAAAAAAAACCACACACACACATATTCCAAATCGAAAATGGAAAGAAAAGGGAAGATGGGAGACTGGAGATAGATTTTGCTTCGGCCACACACACACACATTCCAAATCGAAAATGGAAAGAAAAGTGAAGATGGGAGACTAGAGATAGATTTTGCTTCAGCAATTCCTTAGGATGTGAGAGCCTCCTCCCTGAGAGCCTCCTTCCTCATTCTTCTTGGAAATCCAAACTGGTTCTTAAGTTTGGGGCAGTTTAATAGAAGAGATGATGCTCATCTTTGCCTCTGAGGGGTTAGGAAAGAGCTATCTGTACCTGGTGTTAAGCAGGCTGAAGAAAGGAAGAAAATTTAGGATGGCAGAGTTGAGTGTGGTTGGTGAAATGCAAGGATCAGTAGGTTGTACCTGCAGCACTGGAACATCTGGACGGTTTGGGTAGGCAAAAGAGACATCTTGGAACTGAACAAGGCCCTCCAAATTTGAAGGTGTCAGTACACCACTGGCTGGGCAGCAAGGGGTCCGGTCCAAGTACTCAAATATTTTCTCTGAGGAGCCCACAGCCTTCTGTACATTGGGATAGGTGGACAGTAGGACCTGGAGGGGAGGTATGAATAGTGAGGGAGCAACTTAATCTGCTTGCCAAGGTTATGTGATGTGAAAAGCATAAAGAATGGGAGTAGAGTGGCACAGATGGTGATGGGATGGCGGAAGGAAAGGCACTGGGGAGTGACACTAAAAAGAGCTCACCTCAACAGCTGTGGTGAACTGGATCTGGTAAAGAACAAATGTGACAAGGTTCCCACTGCTTACAGTCCCACTTGTCACCAGCTGCCCACCGATGTATAGGATTCCCACCTTCAGCAGCATCCCTGAGATCTGTGGAGAGATCGCAGAGAAAAGGGATTGTGTTAGAAATATAATGGAGATGCAAAGAACCAGAATTCCTAGCATTAAGGAGATATAAAGCCCCTTTCTCCCAAGTAACAGCAGGAGGCTCAATAAGTAGAAAAGAAGAGTGAACCACAGAGACGCCATGGAGTCTTACTCAGTTACACATGATAGAAGCCATCATTATCATCAACACCATCACCATTATCGCCTTGTTTGGGGAGCATTTTGCTCTTCACAAAAAGTTTTCATGAATGTAATGTAATATAATATTCAGATCAAGATCCATATAAACAAAGTTATATCACTCCCGTTTTTTAAAATGAGGAAACAGTCTCAGAGAAGGTAAGCTTCCAGGCCATGGTCACCGAGCTAGTAAATGGCAGCACCAAGCCAGGAATTTCTGATTGCTTGTCTAGTTCTCTTTCAATTACATCACAGAGCCCTCCATCCTTGGCTTCTGCTATTCGCATGGCTCTCACTAGCACATCCACACACTCCCAAGATGAAGCAGGTCCAGGTGCAGGAATTTACAGCTCCCTGAGCAACCCCTGAGAAGCAAAGTAAGGCCCTAGGACTAGAAGATATGGCATCTTCCTAAAAAGGAGGTTGGATAGATTTTGTGTACCACAATGAAAGGAAGTCAACTAGCATGCCTAAAAGGAGAGAGTGGGTCAAGAACACTGAGTAGGGTAATTGAGCCTCAGGTTGCTAGGACGAGAACACTGAACCAGCCACTGCCCAGTGGAGGAGGAGTGTGGACCGGGGTCATGGGAAAGGGAATGGGGTCACGGCAGCTTGGGGACAAGGGTATAGGCATTCATCTCCAGGTTCTCACACTGGTGGTCCAGAGGTTGACTGCATAGGCCAGGGCCTCCTTCTGGTTGAGTGTCTCCATTTCCTGCAGCTTTTGCCTGAACTTCTGGATCTCTCCATCCTCATTGGCAAAGCTCCGGACTGTAGGCATAGCTGACAGAACCTCAATGGCCACTTGGTTGGACTTTGCCAGAGATTCTTGCACCTGTGCTGCCAGTACCTGTGGAGACATGGTCAAGCAATGTCACATAGGGTTGGCAAACCATAAGGGACACTACTACCTGAGTTACCTGGCTGAGATTAAAGGTGAAAAGAGGCAGGGAGACAGGAGAGAAAAGAAAGGGACACTATTACATCCCCTGGATACTAAATAGATCCAGAGGAGAGGAACATGACTCAGAAGAGTGATAGGGGATCATATTCTTGAGACTGGTGATCATATTCTTAAAGGAAGATTGTGGGCAAAAGTTAGAATAGAAGACATAGAGAATATGAAGATCAACATTAAGCAATCTAGGGCTGTGGACTATAGGACCAGGGAATCCTGTGAAGATGGAGAATCAGCGAGTGTGCCAGAAGAGAAATCTGAAAGGATCTAAGTCTCCCAAGTACAAGAGAGGAGGGTCTGTGTAAGTTGAGGCAACTCCCTAGACATACCTGGTGCCATTTTCCAAGCTTCTTAGGCAGAAGGAAAAGCAGAGGCAGGAAGACCAGGGTGACCATGGTGAGGGATAGTGACCCCCAGAGCATAAGCCCCAAGAGACAAAGTCCTCGCACCAGGTACCACAGCAATAGGCTCAACTTCTCACTCAGAGACTCACTCAAGGTGGATGTGTCCTCTGTTACCCGAGATGTGATGGCACCTGGCAGGGGTTGGGGAGAAAAGATTGGAGTGAATGAGAGGCTCAGAGTGAAGAGAGGGACTAGCAGTTGAGCCAGGGTGCCAGGAAGAAGGGTGTCAATAGGTATTCTAGGGAGGCTGGGGAAAACAAGGTCAGGGGTATAGGGAAGTTTGGGGATCTCAATTCAGGGAGAGTGTGTTAGAGAGGAAAAGTCTGACCAAACGCCTTTATTTTAATTATAAAGAAATTGATGCCCATGTAAATTCTCATTTTTCTAACAGATTTCTGTTCCTTAAAGAACTTGTATATTCCATGCTGTACATGTAGGCAGGAAGAGCTTAAGCTGGTTATATAACAGAGCTGGAGAAAAATAGAGGGTGCTACTAGCAAGTAATCCAGGAAATGATACCAAGCACTGGATTGGGAGAGGGGTTCAATCCCCAAGTTCATCTGTGTCCATATGTGACCATGCAAGTTTCAGCATTTAGGGTCTGGGCCTCACTTTCCTTCTCTGTAAAATGAGGCAGTTAGACTCTGTGATCTCAAAATTTCCAAGTTTGCAATCCTATAGTTTCTATCTAAATACACATTTAGGGATAAATTTATGGAAAAATCTTGGATGGAAAAATGAGGTTTTTCTGAAGGTAGAGTACAATATTTTGCTCGCGGCATACCAAGAATAAGAAATGACAATATGTGTGTGTGCGTGTGCGTGTGCGTGTGTGTGTGTGTGTATGTATGTGAGAAAGAGAGAGAGAGGCAATCCTATAGTTTCTATCTAAATACACATTTAGGGATAAATTTATGGAAAAATCTTGGATGGAAAAATGAGGTTTTTCTGAAGGTAGAGTACAATATTTTGCTCGCGGCATACCAAGAATAAGAAATGACAATATGTGTGTGTGCGTGTGCGTGTGCGTGTGTGTGTGTGTGTATGTATGTGAGAAAGAGAGAGAGAGAGAGAGATATGTGTGTGTGTGTGTGTGTGTGTGTGTATGTGAGAAAGAGAGATATCAAAATTATAAGTAAAGTGGGCTATATGGGAATATAAATAGCATGTGGATGCATAATGAAAGTCTCACGAGAAACCTGTTTGGTTCTGTTGGAAAAACTCCGTTTCCTGGCGCAGGACAGCCCGGAACACCTCTCCCTGCAAGTGGCTGTGCACACGGCCCATGGTGCTGTTATAGATCCCATCACCCATGAACTCCAGCACTGCACTAGAGACAGAGAGATGGAGAGTCAGGGTGTGTTCAGGAGACAGAGAGAAGGTCCCCACAGAAGTGTACTTTAGACAGCAGCCCTAACTTCCAACTCCCTCTTTTTCAGAGTCCCCCATCCTCAGCCTTCCATCTTCAGCCCCCAGACCTGGCTATGGTGAGAATGGACATGAGAGTTATGTTTCGAGTAAAGGCAGCTGCTGCCCCTTCTTGCAGAATCCAGTCAGTGAGGCGGCCAGTGAAGAATGGAATGGCCATCTCACCTGGGGTGGGAGAAAAGAGACGTGTCAGTCACAAATAAAAGTCTAAGCAGGCCAGCCCCAACCAGACTGCCCCAGCACACCTCTCTTCCACCCCTCACCAATATCCTGGATGGTAGCGGCAGGAAAACAATACTGAGAACACAACCCTTCACTTGAACAGGCCGCTCTGGAACTCTTCACCCTGTGGCCCCACCAGACCTTTAGGAGTTTAATTAGGAAGCTTAGAGATCATGGAGTAAGATAGATACCTTTGTATTAAAGATGCTGCCTCAGAGGAAAGGACCTGCCCAAGGTGGCCCAGTGAACCAATGCCCGGGGCAACACTGAAGTCCACGGACTCCTGACTCCCATCCAGTGCAGGAGTGGTCTCCTCAAGACCTGAGCTGGGTCGCCTTCCCCTGGTCCACATTTCCCAGGACTCAGTAACCTATCTCACTGACCATTACTCTTGATTCCTGCTCAGTCCCCTAGCATCCGTCCCTCTACCCCTGAACTCCCTTACCAAGACAGGAGAGGACCAACAAGACCAGCATGAGCGGGAGGCGTCGTATTTCGGAGCCCAGGCATCCCAGAAGCCGGCGCACGTTGTCTCCAGAACCCCCCTGACCTGCTGGCACCCAAAGGCTCCGGAGCTTATGCCACAGGGCGGCTGCGGGCAGTGCCGCTGCGTAGCTGAGGGCGAAGGCGTCGAGGCGACTTCCCCAGTGCAGTTGCCTGGAGCTGTCAGTGTCCCTGGGAGCTGCCCACGAGCCCAGTTCTCGGAACAAGGCAAGTACTGGCAGAGCCAAGGACAGCGCCGCCGCCAGTGGCTCCAAAGCAGCCAGCCATCCCTGGACTCCTGCCGGTTCTCTCTTGGTTCCAACTGTTGCCCGGAGGATCCCACGGGCTCCCAGCCACAGTGCAGCCCAGCGGCTCAGGCCTACTACCCAGACCTGGAGCAGCGGCAGCGCAGCGGGAACCAGCAAGGACGATATTCCGGGCAGGGCCCACCGGAGCAGCATCCAGTCGGCGAGCAGCAGCAGCGCTGTCCCCAGCCACGCGAGCGAAGCTCGGGAGAGGCAGAGGAACCCGCAGGGAGCGGGAGATCCTGAGCTGGCCATTGGTGCGTGGGGGTCGCGTCCGGGCCTGGGACTCTCCGCAGTCCCCTCTGGGCCAGAGGCTCTGTATGCTGTCCGAGTATGTGTCCGAGCGCGCAGGAGGACCGGCGGCTAGGGCGGGGAGTAGGGAGGGCCGGGGCGGAGCTCTCGGAAAGTCCCGGGAACCGGCTGAGCCTGGTCGCGTTGACTAGAAGCGAGCGGTTTAGGGAAAAGGGAAACCGAAAGCGCCGCCGGCTCACTAGATCCGCCCACTTCCCAATGTGCCTGCTCAGACTATTTTGGGAGAGAGCGTTGAAATCAGATCTGAGGTTCTGCGGAGCTGCCTTGGTGCTCCACCTTCTCCATCACGCACGCCCTTCTCTCTTCCTTTCTTTGCCTCCTCTATCGGGATCCACTAGTCCAGACTTCTTACCCCTCGCCTCAGGGCGGGCTCTCTAGTCACCTGTCTCTGGGTAGATCTGCCCCACGCAGGTTAGCGTCCGGGTGCCAAGCCTCACCAAGAGGTCTCTGGCGCCCCCTGGCGCCCCCTGGCGGGCATGGCGAAGGGGCGGGGCTATAGGGTGAGCGCAGCTGGCTGTCCCAGGTCGGAAACCAGTGCCCCAGGCAGCGAGGAGCGCGGCGCGGTGATGCTTCGGACGGGAGCACCAACTGGGGACTTTCCCCGAGCCGGAGAAGTCCACACTGGGGTAAAACTCTGGGTTTGAGGGTTAGCAGAGGGGTGAAGGAGGTGGAGCGACAGGGGGACTCTGGAAGCACCAAGAAGTGAATGTGGAGACTAACGAAGAGTGAGGAGGTAGCTCGTAGCATCCAGTGCTGGCGCCCTTCAGTGAATACAGGGCGTCTGTCTTCTGAAGAGAATCATCTAGGGGTCCGCGAAGAGACTGGCCACGCGAGGCTGCTGGAGAAGGGGGTGCTTTGGCTTTTAGCTGGAAGCGTCAAGGGGAAGCTGCTTTAAAGCGCTTTCGCTTTCACTCTGGACTAGAGAGAGGAGCTGGTTAAATCTAGGGAGGGGGTTGGAGAAGGTGCAGAGAGATAAGGAAATGGTGCCCTGGGCGAAATAGGACAGCATTTAGGAGGGGGGAATATGGGCACTGATTGAGAAGGGCCAACTCATCACACAGACCTTTGGTAAACGGGCACCTGGGTAGCTCATAGCCCCAGCACTGATAATAGGGGTTCCATGTGAGCCGGTGGTGCCCTTTCCAGCTTGGCTCAGGAGTGCTCCTGCTCAGCCCAGGTGCTGCCTTGATCCCTTCCTTGTGTCTTCCCTGCCCACTTCCAGCCACGGGCTGGGAGACCTCGCCCAGGCTAGGTGCCTGGGGCAGATGGCAGCCCAAGGCTGGCTGGCTGCTGCTCTCAGACTACTGCCACTACTCTTGGCTTGGGGGCACTTTGTTACAAAGGAATAGGCTGGAGAAGGAGGGTGCCCCTGTTCTCTGGCTCTCTATTCGTGGTAAATCAGTATGTGAGAAAGTACCCTCAGGGCAATATCCAAGGGATATTGGGGAGAAAGAGCAGCAAAAACCACTTATAAGTTAGAAAATCTTTCCTTGCTGCCAGATGAGCACCAGAAAGTAGGAAGTAGAAGCCAAACGGGTCTGCAATTAGACCTGGGTTTTGAACTTGGACAAGTCATTCTCCTTCTCTGTGACTCAGTTTTCTGTTTTTAACCAAGGATCTTTAAGCCCTTTCCCAACTCAACAGCAGTAGAAAAAGCTTTATCCGCCTTCACTCTTCCTTAATTATTTTCCTTAATTTGTTTTTAACCTAGAAAAGTCTGCTCAAACTCTCAAATCAAACAATTCTCTTGCTATAGCTCTCTTCTCCTGATTGCTGAGATATCTATTTACCTCTTGATCAGAAATTCTTAAATGAAACTTTTATTTTAAACTATTTCATGTGTTCCTTGCTGCTTTCCTTCTTCCTTGAGGCATGGCCCTGCTGTCCACGGACCCCCTCAATGTTTACCAGTTTACTGGACAGTAAACTGAAAGAGCTCACAACTGATTAAGGGGGGTACAGGTGAAGGATTCAGGGCCCCCAAAAGACCTGAGCTTATTTCTCAAGGTCATAGTAACGCTCTGTCGGGTCTGTACCACATCTGCACGCACAAGCACATGTGGTAGAGGTCATTCACTTGTGGGGCTGCCTCACCAGAGCTTGGAAGGGCCCCCTGAGCCAAACTTTTGCCTCTAGGAGCCTCATCTCCACCTCTCCCTTTACAGTGGAAAGGATTCCACTTTGGAAGGTTGGGGCTTAGGGATGCTGTTTTTCCTGTGTTGTACCGTGGCCAGGCTGTGTTGTCATTCCCTTGCAGCCAAGAAAGACAATAGGGAAAATGGAAAGATGGAGAAAAAATCCTGTACTGGGAGTTGACTCTGGCCTGTATCATTGTGTGACCTTGAGCCAGCCCTCTCCTCTCTCTGGGAATGTTTCCTCGCCTGTGACATAAGGGGACCAAGGCTTTTCTTGCTCTGACATTCTATCCTCTGTGTCTCTGCAGACAACCATCATGGCAGTAGAGTTTGATGGGGGTGTTGTGGTGGGTTCTGATTCCCGGGTGTCTGCAGGGTAAGTACCAAAGAAGGTATATGCTTTGGAAAGAAGCTAATGGCCCCAAACATGCATTTTCCTTACCTATTCATGAAGAGATTCGTGAACTGGAGCTTTGGAGAAATGGAGTTAACCTTTCTGAAAGGTCACTATAATGGGATATTTGGGTGGATACTTGTATCTCGAATTCATGGAGGAAGATCTGGGGCTTGTGCTATGTGCCCTGTCCCTGGAAAGAATAGGGTCTGAGAAGGAGATAGAGGTTTAAGCGGCCTGTCCTCCTTCCATGTATTCAGAGATAGAAAAGATGGTTCTGACAAGCAGGTACTATGATTTCTCATCTATCACATGTGGAACTAATTTTGTCTTTCTCACTCTCAGCCAGTTTCCTAGCATGTAAAATGAGTATATGGGATTAGATCGATATTACTTACTTTATGTTTAGAACATATAAATTCCTCAAGATGGTTACTAGAAAAGAAAAGTTGATAGGAGGAACATTAGTCTTTACTTAGTATTTTTTATTTTATTATAAAATCTGAGCCTGAAAATAAGTCTAATTTTGATTACTTGCAGTGCTTTCTTTAAGTCAGATTTTTTTTGTTTTTGTTTTTTGCTTCCTTCTTTAATCCAAGCATTAAATTTCATGCACTCCATGGTTGTTCTCGTGTCAAATAAATTTGAGAAACACCGGGCGATTAACCTCAAAAATTCCTGCAACTCTAACACAGATGACTATTGACTCCCCAACAGAGAAGCAGTGGTGAATCGAGTATTTGACAAGCTGTCCCCCCTACACCATCGCATCTACTGTGCCCTCTCTGGTTCAGCTGCTGATGCCCAGGCCGTGGCGGACATGGCTGCCTACCAACTGGAGCTCCATGGGTATGAAGCTCTGGGGTCTTCACACCACACCTGCTAGAGGTCCTCCAACCAGTGAACCCCATACATGATCCTGTTCCAGGAACACTGCAGTGGAAAATGAAAAATTCCTGTTTTGGCTCCTGCTTTTATTACCTTTTAACTGGCACTCGAATCTCTCAAATCTGGTTTCTACATTTGGAAAGTGGGGATAATAGTACCTACCCTACCTCACCAGATGGTTACTTTGAGAATCAAATGATATATGTGAAGGCAGTCTGAAATCTGTAAATCACTGTTCTAATATAAATAATGAGGAAGAAAATGATGATGTGGCCCACATATCAAGTTACCTTATGATAAACCAAGGTAATTGGGGCAGAAATAATGCTTATCTGCTTTTACACACAAGGGCAGAGCCCTTGGAGCCAAGAGAGTTGTGTCATTGGGGATGGCAGGTGGGACAGAGTAAAGGAGGGGAACAATTGAAGCCTTCTTACCAGTTGGTGGTGTAAGACTCAGGTTCCCCTGCACATGTGGGAGGGGAGCTGGAGTTTGACCTATTGCAGCTATAGGTTTCAGGTGTCACTTGGCAAGGATGATGGTATTGGCACGGAAGGGTGGAACTTCAGGAAATTACACTGACCCCTATTCCTAACATTTCCTTCAGGATGGAACTGGAAGAACCTCCACTTGTTCTGGCTGCTGCAAACGTGGTGAGGAATATCAGCTATAAATACCGGGAGGACCTGTCTGCACATCTGATGGTAGCTGGTTGGGACCAGCGCGAAGGGGGCCAGGTGAGTTTCCCAGTGCACTCCCTCCCTGGGGTTCTCCGCTCCCCTAGAGAGATGGAGGTCATATGTCCTTCTAGCAGTGAGTGCCAAAGACATTGCCTCTGAAAGCATAGTACTGTCTCTATCAGTGGGAACATGAGATACTGGGGTTTCACTGGAGAGTATGGAGATCATCTTGTCTCAGTGGCAATAAGAGAGGATTGATTTGACTTGAGGATGCCTCTCCCAGGTATATGGAACCCTGGGAGGAATGCTGACTCGACAACCTTTTGCCATTGGTGGCTCTGGCAGCACCTATATCTATGGTTATGTGGATGCAGCGTATAAACCAGGCATGTCCCCTGAGGAGTGCAGGCGCTTCACCACGGATGGTAATTAACCAAGTGGAAGGGTACCGGGGGGAGGATTATTAACATGGGAGGGAAGTAGAGTATAAAAAAACAGGAAGAGGAATACATCGGTGACCATTTAATTTAATGTCCAAACTGGTACACTTTCGAGAGTGACCGGGGGCAGAACAAATGCTAAACTAGATGGGACTTCAGGACAAAAGGCATGAACCAGCACTGTTCTGAGTACAGCAAGTTAAGATATGTGATTACCCTAAGAACCAGTGGTGTGCTGGAACTGGTTTGGGCTAGCTCATGAGAGCCAACTGTTAAATATTCAAGGATTTGTGACTTGTTAAGCTATTTACAACTTGAAATCGATCGTGGTGGGAGTATTGAGACCATGGACATTAGGAGATGCTACACATGAAGGCTTCTTTTTTTTAAAAGTCAGTTTACCAGCACACCACTAAATACGCCTCTCTAGGAGATGGGTTTTGAGATCTTAAGGTGGTAGTAGGCATATAGACAGAAGGAGAAGGAAAAGATTTTTGAGGTTAAGCCATTCTCTCTCCCTCTCTCCAACTTGCACCCTCTGCAGCTATCGCTCTGGCCATGAATCGGGATGGCTCCAGTGGGGGTGTCATTTACCTGGTCACTATTACAGCTGCTGGTGTGGACCATCGAGTAATCTTGGGCAATGAGCTGCCAAAATTCTATGACGAGTGAATCTCCCTCAGACTTCTCTTCCGTATTTTGTAATAAACTCTTTGAGACCAAAACCCGGCATGGTCAATGGAAAATGGGTGCTCAGGGAGAAGAAGCTAAGGGGAGGGGGCTTCTTCTATCCCAGATATCAGCATACCCTTTTTTCATTCTTTTGCCCTCAAATACCTTTCCCAGAGGAAGGAAGGTGGTGTAAAGGGGAGTATACTAGAAAGAGCCCTGTACGTGACAGGTCATTATGTACTGAGTGATTCTGAAATATTAGAAGCAATAAAAATTCTCATTCTGACACCCCAGGGATGAGGGTGGAAGTGAGAAATTCTTTTAAGGCTAAGACTGATAGGTAGATAAGACAGCAACACACATGGGAATTCACCAAGAGCGCCAGCAAACTCACATGTAAAAAGAATTCCTTTCGTAATTCATTCATTCACACTAGAGGTCAATACATGATCAATGCTTAAATTTTTTTTAGAAAGCATTTCAAAAGGAGGCACTTGTGAATTTCAAAGAATAACGATAATTTTAAAAAGCTACATTTAATGAACCAAGCATTCACTGAATGCTTAAAAACTTTATCTTTTAGAATCCAAACAATAAGACCTGTATAGGTACTACTACTACTTCTATTTAAGGACAAATAGAGGCTTAGAAAGAGTAAGTCACTTGACCAAAATCATAGCAAGTTCAAATGCTGAGATCTGGGATTAAGTTTTACCATATGCCCTACCTCTACCACTACATAAAACTTTCCATTACCTCAAGCTTCATATATCATCTCCTCCTTGAAATCTGCAATAATTAGCCCCGCACATTAGTTGTCACTTAGGAAGTTGTTACCAGATGCCTGAGTAACTGCATTAAACAAACCAAGTTCTGGTCCTATCTTTGCCACGTACTTCCTGAGTAATAGGACAAATTACTCCCCTGCTGTGATCCCTCAGTTTTTCTTCTGTCAAATGAAGTGTTGAGTGACTTGTAAGGTGGTTCACAGCTTTGACATGCAGTGCTAATATTTGCTAATAAGTGAGCAGTGAAAAGGTGTGTTTAACAGAAATTCTAGTAGGCTACCCAGGAAGCTTCTGTCTGCTTTTCTTTCTGGACCTCAAGCTAAACATACAAATTCAAAGTATCCTAAAAACAGTCTTATGCCTTTGGGAGTGTGTGTTTGGTTTGGGGGTGGGGGAGGGGGGAGCCTCTAAAATTACTAGAGCCTTGAGTTCTTTCTAGCCATGACAGTTAATTCAGTTTGAAGTTTTAAATAATAATTTAATAGCCTATCCTGCCTGCTGATCACAACTAGAAACTGGAGAGTGGATAAAAAGCAAGTACTAAGGGGCTCTGAAAAGGAAGCAAAAGCTGGCGGATTGTAAAGAGATTCAAAACTTGGAGAGGCAGTGCTCCTGGAGAGGTTTTCAACTGTTTTCCCTCTTTCTTTTCACAAGCTTTGCCTGAAGTCAGGCCTCAGGTGGACGAGAGAGTGTAAGGGAGCCTCCCCAACAAGATGCTTGAGAAGCGGATTCCCTTGTTCTTGACATGAACCCTCATGAGCACAGGGCAACTGCTGAGCTGCACATGCCTGTGCCATGCCTTTTTAAAATTAGAAGGCTGTCATTTTTTTTATTGGCCAAAGAATTGTATCCTGTGCCCCTCATTCCAGAAAGAACTTGTAGCAGCTTATAGGGACAGATGAAATTTAAAAAGAAGAAGGAGGAGAAGAAACTGGGGCAAAGAGAAAAATAAGTGAAGCCAAGGGGCAAAGCTAATATACAACACGAATATCTTTTTTTAAAAATGGCGTGCTGGATCTGTCTTATACTGACTAACCAGGGCAGATTGTAAAGTATTCAGGAATTTTGAAAGGCAGCTGTTAACCATTGGCAGCTTGATATTGACCATCGTAGAAGTATTTATGCCACAGAAATCAGTAATGCTACAAGTCAGAGCTTTTCTTTCTTCCCCAGAGAGCCAACTTAACAGGAAACATACTTATCTGTCGACTATCACTGGGTAAAAAAAAAAACAAACAAAAAAAAAACCTGGCTCTGAGCTAAAGGGTAGTGAAAGCAAAGGCAGAAATGAAATTAACTATAAGATTCAAATGGTTTATTAAGAAAAAAAGCCATCCAAAAAAAACTTACAAAATTTTTCAAGCCACAGAACATTTACCTAGAAAACACACTATGCCATAAAGAAAACTCCAATAAATTCCAAAGTATTAGAATCTTTGAAACTATCCATATTCTGTGGCCAGACTGTAACAAAATTAGAACTAGATGACAAAAAGATACCTAAATTTTTCATGCTTTGCAAATGAAGAAAATATTGATAAATAACATGGATTTAAAAGGCAGTCATAAATGAAATTAATTCATTTAGAACCAGGTGGTTAAAATGTTGCATATCACATTTTCATAAACATAATTAGAACAGTACTTAAAAAGAATTTTGTAGCTTCAGATACATTTATTAGAACAAGAAATTTAAAAATAACTTAAAAATTCTCCTGAAAAATCTGGAAAAAGGCAATTGAGCATACCTAAGAAACAAGAAGGAAGGAAATTATAAAGATAAAAATATAAAACTATTTAATAGAAAACAAATCTATGTAGTAAAGATTCACAAAACCAAAAGCTGCTTCTTAAAAATATATATTTATAACATATTCAGACTTAGAACCAGACTGACCCTGAATAAAGGGGAGAAAGAAATCAATAAACAAAATAAAACAAACAAAACAAAACAAAAAAAGAATGAAAAGAAGGGAATAGCTACAAATATAACAGAGATATGAAACATAATAAAGGGTTTATGAACAAGTATATGCTAATAATTTGAAAACCTCTGTGAGATAGATAAGTTCCCAGAAAATTTTAGCCTACCAAAATTAGCAAGAAGAAATACAAAATTTGACTATGCCAATAAATATTGAAGAAATGAACAAATTTGCAAAGGCCTCTAATAAAAATAATATTTTTGTAAAAAAATGCCCAGATGGTTTCACAGATGAGTTACACTAAACATTCAAGGAATATGCAACTCCTATGCTATGGTATTTGTTTGTTTGCTTGTTTGTTTGTTTGTTTTCAGAAAATAGGAAAAAGATTAAAAGCTACTGAGCTAATTTTATCAGGCTAGTATAATCTTGATTCCAAAATGAGGTATGGAAAATTCAAGGAAAGAAAATAATATGCTCATTTCACTTTGAACATATGTGGGGAAAATAAATAATTATTTATGAGTTGAATTCAACAGTATTAAAAATAATAATATATCAAGATCAAATGGAAAATCCTTAGAATGCAAGAATGCTTCAATATAATCAAATATATTACTGCTATTCACCATATTCATTGACTCAAAGGAAAAACCATCTGCTTTTCTCAATCAATAAAGGCATTTTATAAAGTTAAATATCCATTTGTGATTTGTGAAAAAGTGTTAAGGAACCAATAATCAAATAAAACTTTCTTATCTTGGTAAAGGTTATATTCCAAAACAAAATCTATGACAAGCAATATACATAGTGGAAAAATCTGAAGTGCCCAGACAAGATTGCTTACTATAACTATTATTAAACATAACACTGGGGTTCAGGCTCATGCATAAGGAGAAAAAGAGAAACGAAAGGACTGGGAAAAAACTATTTTTATTTGAAGATTTTATGATCATTTAGAAATTAAAAAAACCCAACAACAGAAGCAGCAAATTATCAAAATAACAAAAGAATTAATCAAGGTTTTTAGCCATAAGAACAACTAACAAAAATTAAGAGCATTTCTCTATACCAGAATAACCAATAAGAAATATAATAAAAATTAGAAATAATTTACAAGAGCCAAAAAACTATAAAGCATGTACGTACTTACTGATTAACTTAACAAAGAAATTCATAGAAAATTTAATACTCTAATTAAAGAAGTCATTGAATATAATTTGAAATAATGGAGAGTTATTTTGCATGCTTGGATGAGATCACAATCTTATAAAGATATCAGTTGTTCCCCAAATTCATCTTTAAATTGAGTATAATCCCTGTTGACACGCCACTTGAACTTTCTGAGGAAATTTATAAATTTACCCTAAAATATATATGATAGAATAAAGGTCTTCAAATAGCTAAGCAAATCTTTAAGAAGAAACAATGCAAAGGGGAGACTTTTTCTAAGAAACATTAAGATATTCTATAGAACTGGATTATGAAAAATATATACTATAAATTCAATAGTTATTTAAAAAGAAAAAAATAATAAATTGACAAGGAAAAGGAATTCCAAAATAAGGTATGGAAATAGAGAGCTCACACACACACACACACACACGTGCACACACACACACACGTGCACACACACACACACACACACACACTAGCCTCACACACACACACACACACACACACACAATAAAGTTTGTATAGTATACAATACTATAGTATTGTATACTATAGTATTGTATAGTATACTATAGTAGTTTAGTATACAATAAAGTTTGCACCATAAATTAATTGGGAAATTACAGATTTTTAAATAGGTATTATTAGAAAAAATGGCTCAGTATATAAAGAAACACAAAGTTGGATCCTGACCTAATGCCACATATAATAGCAGGTGAATTGAAGCCACCAAAGAGTGTGAAGCTTTAAATGTAACAAAATAAAACATAAAGTTTATATTTGTGACCAGGGAAAGGAAAAGACTTCTTTTTATAAAACCCCCAAAACCATAATGGGAAATATTATTTCACTGCATCAAAATTAAAAACTTTTTTTAATGAAAGCCATGGACCACTCTATAAACAAATAACAGAATAGGAGAAGATATTTGCATTGTCTAAAACCAACCAAATATAGTATCTAGAATATACAATGAACTGCAAATCAACAACAAAAAGGCAGCAACTCTTAGAGAAAAATGCATGAAGGACATAGACATGGACCTTACTGAAGAGGAAATAAAAAAGGTAACGAGCATTTGAAGAAATAGTCAAACTCAACAATAATCACAGTAAAACAAAATTATACATTATTTTATACCTATTAGACTGGAAAACATTAGAGTTAGATAATGCTGAATGTTGGTGAGCAAACAGGGATGAAGGAAGCCTCCTACTCAGCCAGTAGAAACATAAACTGGAGCAGCCCTTCTGGAGAGAATTCTGTGATACTTAATCAAAATCTTTCGGGGATCCAACAATTCCACACCTGAGAATTAACCCCCCTCCCAACTATCTAGTAAGTCCATGAGGAGACTTATACAAGAATGTTATTTATAAGTTATTGTGGTAGCAGGGAGATAGAGGCAAACTTCGTGTCTCCTAGAGAGACGGTAGGAAAAAAGCTGTGCCTGCACAACCTGGAGACCTATGAAGAAGTTAAAAGAAGTCCATTAAATGCACACAGTAACATAGATGGATCTTTAAAACAGAGTGTTGAGGGGGAAAAAACGAGTAACAGAATGAGCTAGTTAGCACAAAGCCACTCACTTTAAATAAAAAATGAATGCACACAAAACAATACACATTTTGCAAGAATACTATAACAAAAAGATGCATACAAAATATATTAGAATGGTTGCCTTTAGTGAGGGGAGGGAAATTGGAAGTGGAAAATGGGGATAAAAATGACAACAAACAGAGGAGATTTTGTATGCACCAATGATGACCATGTGCCATGAAGTGAAGAATATAATTCTACCATTTACATTTAAAAAAATTTTTGAAGTGAATGACTCAAAGGAAATCATAGCTCTGAGAGCAATTTCTTCTATATTTCCATGGCAACTTATAGATAATTTCACATTTTTTTCCATCCAACTAAATAAACAGGGAATATAGGTAAAGCGTTTGATCAAAGATCAGGATTTAGAAAGGGAGAATAGGAATTAAGAAGAATACTTAGATTTTGCCTACATTTGCAGTGCCTCTCTCCAATGAATATGTATTATTCTTTTATTCCAAACCTTTTAGACTCTAATAAACATGTTCTATTTTATAAAACAAACTAGAATATGCAGGTTATCTTCGGTTCTATTCACCAAATTCTTAACTCTGCTGGTTATGGGCATATATTGCAAGAACAAAAATGTTTGAACTCTACTGGGTTTATTCAGAAGCATTGGAAATTGGTTCAACAATATTAACTTTACCCAACCATGTTTATGACAGTTCTATGTGCAGTATAAGTATATGTAATACTGAATATATGCTCTCAAAAACTCAGAAATGAAGTATGGAGATTCGATTTTTATCTAAACTGTGTTGACATAGAAAAGACTGAATTTCTCTAGGAAAAAGCCTTTTCTAGGAAATATTTTAGGGTTCTCCAGAGAAACAGAAGCAATAAGACATACATATAGATTCACTTGAAGGAATTAATTCATGTAGTTGTGGGAGCTGGCAAGTTTAAAATCTTCAGGGCAGGCTAAAGGCCCAGGGTAGAGTTGATGTGGTAGCTCAATTTTGAAGACTATCTGGAGGCAGAATTCCCTCGTCCTCAGGGGACCTCATTCTTTTTCTCTTAAAGCCCTCAACTAATTGGTAGGCCCACCCACATTATGGAGGGTAACCTGCTTTACTCAAAATCTATTGATGTAAATGTTAATTTCATCTAAAAAATACCTTCAAGGCAATATCTAAGGCACCCAAATATCTGGGTACCATAGCCTAGTCAAGCTGACAAAAATTAGCCATCGCATAGCTCAAAGTAAAACTAAATGTGGCAAAAGTGTTGAGAAAGGACATGGACCCAGTATTAACCAATTCAGACAGCTGAACCATCACTGAAGTATTGGACTGACCTCACATCCAAGGTAACATGCAACGAACGAGGTTTTAGCTTAGGATGGGTACCAGACAAACGCTGAGTGATTCAGTTGAGGGTTTTGTCACTACCTCTATAGGCTGGCTGCTTCAGACTACCCTAGAGAGCATACAAAGAAAAAAGACTAAATTAAAAGCTTTTCATCCAAACACAAGACAAGAATGGAAAATTTTGAAAAAGTACTATAGCAGTTTTAAAGGATACCTTTTGTCCTATAACCCAGCACAGATATAGATGAGGGCCAAGCCTAAGGTCTGATGATAAAAGTTATGAAGTTGTAGAAATATTAATTGCACAGCCCCACCGGATCTCTAATGCTAAGGTAAGGCCAATGGTTGAGATGGATTTGGACCCTGAGCTATGAAATGGGGACATAAGAACAGACACAGAGAAGTCTGAGAACTAGGGATTGTCAAATCCCCCAGAACATCTTTGCTGAAAGAAGCAGACCCACTGCACTAGTTATCTATTGCTATGTAACAAATAACACCAAAATTTAGCAGTTTAAAATAACAAATGTTTACAATTGGACATTATTGTCACAATTGGGAAATTTTGAATAAGGATATAAATTTGATAATATTGTATCAATTTTAAGTATCTTGGGAGTGACAATGGTATTGTGGTTATGCAGGAGAAATGTTCTTAGAACAAACACGCCAAACTATTTAGGGGTGAAACATCATAATACTCACAGATTACTCTCAAATGGTTTTTACAAAATGGATAAATAAAATATAATATATTCATACAATGGAATACTATGCAAGCAATAAATATTAATGAACTACTGACAGTGCAACAACATGGATAAGTCTCGTAGAAACAATATTGAGTGAAGAAGCCAGATGCACCAAAAAAAACACACACAATGTATGTTTCAATTATCTGTTGCTATGTAGCAAACCACCCCTAAAACTTCTGATTTAAAACAAAAACATTCGCTTTGTTATTTCTTGTGAGTCTGTGAGTTAACTGGGCTTTCAATAATATCGTAATACTAAACTTATCAGGTGATCATTTGTAAGTTATATAATGTCTAATCACTATATTGTATTCCTGAAACTAATATAACATTGACTGTTAACTCTAATTGAAAAAAAGTTTTTTAATTTTTTTAAAAATAAATAAATTTTTTTTTTTATATATAATAAAAGAAACGCTGATGTAGCCCATGAACCAAAGCACTTACAACAGCCACTCCACACAGCACCTCACATTGCATGTATGGACACTGATTATATTTTCTGGCTGCCCATCAGGTTTGAACATCTTTAGAATACTGTAAGAATACCCCCTCCTTATGAGTCTTGACTTCCCATAGTAGAATTCAGAAAACTCACTTCCCTTAGCCCTCTTTGAAGCTAGAGCACAAATACAGAATCTAAGTCCCACCAATCAAATTCAGCCCCTTGAGACTTCAACTGAGGAACAGGAGGAAATGGAGATTTTTTTGTATTCATTTCGTTGGCAAAGGTGATAGAAGAAGCAACTGGCTTTAGGGGAAGCAGTGGTTTAAAAAAAAAAAGGCAAAGTTCCTGAAACAGAAGTGGCTTAGGTGTCTTCAGTACTTACTGGCTACAGTAAAGTTCCTAAC